TAATGCTATTAAGCCTATTTTGGTTCTAGGTCAGTGCAATATCACGGGCAACTGAATGGCTGATGAACTGGTAAGACAGGCTCGTGGATAGAGTAAGTCTGCGTGCTCCTCTGACGTCTTTTGGTCTACTTCTCCACAGACGGGCGCTGGGCGAAGTCTTTGTAATGCAAGGTGGCTAAAGCCTCCTGTATACCGGAAGTGGTTCAGGGAGCTCTTAGGACTTAGCAAGGTACAGCTCTCGATTTTGGTGGGAGTTCTAACTGGTCATAGCGTGATAGGTAAGCATGCGGTAAGGCGGAATATCATCGATGACCCTTGCCGCCAGCATCAGCTGCTTGGAGGATGATGAGGTGGAATCATCTCAGCACCTGTTGCTTTGGTGCTCTGCCTTTGCGAGCCTAAGCGTACATTTACACAGAATACCGAGTGGCGCCGAGCGAAGCAAGGAAGAGTGGGGCGGCTGCAGAGCTTTTTGCATGGAATCGGCCGTAAAGACATAACAAAACTGACCTTCAAAGAGAAGCGGCTAAAATATTGGTTCAATTGTTTTCCCGGAAAATAGATTTTGATCTTTTGTTCGCATCAGAGTTATCATCCATAGATGCGCCTTGAGAGTCATGAAGCTGAAAACCCAAAACGAAAATTGAAAATAAAAAAAATGCTTTGCTTTCAGCTCAAAAACGCTTCAAAAAAAGCTTGCTGTATGAACACTTTCATGGGAACTGAACAACTTCAGAAGCACGAACTGCATTGTTACGAAATGTTTAGGCCACCAGCAAAATGATTTCGTTGAGTAAAAAAAATCTAGTATTTTTGAGTTAACGCGAAAGCACATTTATTCCAGGCAATGCATGAAATTTGATGCATCATGAGCTAGACAGCGTGTCACTCCACTCCGTAAATACGCATACGTCAAACCGATGGTGGCACACGCGACGTTATTATTAACTTGCCACTTCAGTTGTACGTATGTGTGTACCTTGTCCAGCTTCCCATCCCTGTCAAAACCTCCTTGCACTCGGGAACAGTAAAACCAAAAACAACGAATAGTGTCAAGGGAAACTAATGCTGCACACACACACAAATGAAATTATTTTTGCAAGCAAATCCCTAAACTCTCAATAACTTTCCGCCTAGCATCACTTCCACCCATCGCCTTTTTGATTTCCGATTGCGCTGCATCATCTCCCCCCCCTTTTATGTGTGCTTCTTAATAGGATCGCTGTGATTATGTCGTAGGTGTTGCTGCTACTAATCTGTGACGACATTCTACACTGCTACTGGGCTTGTCATGCTCTGGTATAAAACCTCCCCCATTTCGGTGGCGGCAATGCGAAGTCGGCAAAGTTGCTGTTGTCTTAGATTTGCAGTAAATTATCGTTACATAATGACAAATGCACAAACGCATTAGTGAGTACATATGTACATATAAATAAATACACATTAATCTGGGTTTTTTCGGATAGTTTTTCCCTATGTGGACTGGAAGTAATTCTCTATTTTGTTCTCAATTGTCATTGCATTAAGGCAGCTCTAGCTCCGTTTGAGCGAGATTTTATTCGATTAATCTAATTATGCTTCTATATAAATATGTATATACATAAGTTTATTATTGTTATAATTGTGTACTTAATAATATGTATTGCTGTGGTTGAAGATATGCTCAGGCTAAGCGCATTTAGGGCAGTAAGAAAGAAGGTATTGAATGGTCTGCTTTTCTCCCTCATCCAGGCAACTTTTGCTGTCGTTCGCAGGGTGCCTAGTCGAGCTGCATGTAGTCCTATCGTACAGTGTCCAATTTAAAGCGCTATAGTTATGCAGATTTACTGCCTCCTTTGGTTAAGAAAAAACTCAGTCCTTTGACCATTCATGGAGGGCCAAAATACTCCGACAACTTCACAAGTTTTCTGAGGACTGGCAGCTATATCAATGCTATCAGTATCCAGAAATGTCGTGTCAAGGTGCGTAAGTTCGTCAGCCCAACAGTCTTCCCTTATGTTGCTGTGGCATTCAACAACAATTTACCCTTGAAGTCAGCGACAGTTTCCTTGGTGATTGTATAACCTCCTGTTATAGGCGCATTAAGATAGGCATCAATTCCGCTTAAGGTTCATTGTAATAATCAGACAAGCAGCAGCTGAGAGATATACCAAACTGTCTTAAGCCTCCAATGTTTCTATCAGAATTTTACCTAATCATGTATACATGAATTGATGATCCGCTTTTCCTGATCTTGTGAGTTTTCCATTCCTCTCACGAAGGAATCGTTGATAGTGAGGATTGGGAAATTCTGTAAGATCTGTCTTTTGAATGACGTACATATACAGTCTACCGGAAGAAAATTTAGTAGCATGCTAAGCACTTTGATGGCCATCATTATCAGCATAAAAGCTAGCCGTTGGATATGTTCCAGTTCCTTCTTATTGAGCACTTCTTCTTCTTTATTGGCGCTGTAACCGCCTAAGCGATTCTGGTCTAATCCGGTAAAGCACGCTAGTCGTTTACACTATACTATTTGCGTCCCAAATCCACATTTTTGCCGATCGTCCGAGGGCAGGAGCAAACCGCAGTTGAAGTTCGTGAATAGATCCACCTATGTTTCACAAAATGTGTTCCACCGTCTCATCCTCTTCAAGGCAAGAAGGGCAAATGTGGTTTTCATATACATAATTATACCTATCGCAGTCAGATATTTATGACCAGAGAAGTAAGCAGTCACCAGTCTTACCAGCTGTCTGCAGTCCTTGCAGTTGTCTTGACATTGAAGGCAGCATGAGTTTTGCCCACCTGAAGCCCCTCGAAGCTTCTCAGTCATTGCCTTCGAAGGCCTAAGGTGGGAGTGCCATAACTTCTGATACCCCGAGTGAGCTGGCACCCATAGTAAAATAAGTTCGTTATTTTTTCCATTATAATTAAGTCAAGACTTGCATTGTCGAACCATTTTGGCCTTGAGAATTGTAAACACCTCGGCATGAAATATCTAGGTACGTTCTCAAAAATAGATTTTCACATCTCCATTCATTTCGATATGGACTCCATATCCTGACTCTGCATCAGTTTTGGAGCCATCAGTAATGTGTAAACCCGGACTCGCTATTAAAGTTAAGTTAACACTCATCCTCAGAGAACTCGACATTGTGGTGTCCTATAGTAGAAGCTTAGTCAGATTGTAAATGACGATGTTATATAGGAAAGCAGATAATACTTCCCTCCGAGGTGTTTCTATTAATATGAATTTACAGTCAGAGTAGTCAGGCCTATGATATGTTTTACGATGTCTGTCTAAATTTTGTGCCATCCATGCCGGAGTTTCGTTCGTGAGCTCATATATTTATAAGGCATCCCATTGCAGTCCGGCATGCGGTGTTCTGACAGGCCTGTAGCTTCGTCCAAAGTGCCTTACTGGTCTCAGGTTATCAAACTGGCACTGTATAATTTATAACAGCTGGTCAATTGCCTTATATGTTGCCATCAACATTTCTTTATTTTTGCCCGAAGTGCTGCCGGCGCGCGATTTGTGGACTTTGTACTTTATTGAACATTGTGGCGTTTGGAGTCCGTATATCTAAAAAATTTCCATCTCCACAGTGCCAACGAGAGATACCATGAATAAGGCATAAAATACGTCAAGACTGACCGTATCAGAATGTTCGGCAGTACTAGATGTCGTGTTCCTGCTTCATATTGATGAACTTAAGCCTGACCCGATCAAGTTTCCTCGTTCGAGTCCGCTAGGCTACTGTGAGAACTTGATATCGATTTTTAGATTGCTCTTCGTCTAAGCAATTTGATTCTTTTGCATTTTTTCTACAAACAAACAAGCAAACTATCTTCGGGGCACTAGTGCACAGTTGTTGTAGCGGCACTACTAAGCCCCGCCTTGGTCGATTTGTTCATAAACCGTTATAATTAAGCTCAACTAATGGATAATGAAACGAGCTGTTTCGACAGGGGTCGCACCAGAGGAAGAGGGCTGTTAGCTGAGTAGGAATGAGCAGACATGGGCGGAGTTTCCGCGTGCACAGAACTCACTGGGAATATCGGGGTCGAGTCTCGACAAGTTCTTGTTGGGGTGGCTACAATATCCTCGCCTTAATGGAACCAGCGAAACGTGGGCCCCTTGTGGCAGTCGAAGTTCTGTGTCTGAAATAGGTGGTGATTGGGCTGTGTTTACGGTATTCATAGGTCACAAGTCGTTTTAGGTGGTGCCCGACTCCCGTGAATACCGTTAATCACACGTCAGTACGTCGTTGAATCCAGTGGTTGGTCGATTAAGTCTGCATTGCGTCCATATATTCCGAATAGTTTCCTTTATTGCTCTTATGTCTTGAAAAGCTGCACAGCCGGCCTGTCAGAAACTCTAGTGACAACAGTGCAACCCAAAATTTTTCTAAATGCCTTCATTTTAAAATTTCAATATCTATAATATTGCCTTAAATAGAATATAACTATGTGTATTGCTCTAATACTAACATTTTTGGTAGTTCAAAAATATTCTTCAATGCAAATAGCTCAAACGTCGGTTGCATCTTTTCCGCCAAGGTGTTTTTAAATTCAAAATTTTCATATCCACCAACGCGCACACACAGCCCACACTTAACGGCTTGCTAAAAAATTTCAAAGCCACAATTCACCAAACTCCAATGGTGCTCCACCATGGTGAGTAACGGCATCATGAGACCCCAAAAACGCAATCTCTTCAAATAAACAACGTATACTACACCAAGCACTTTACCCACCACTTTTATCATCCACTTTGTTTTGGCCCCCCATACAAGTCGAGCACAAACCCACCGGCGGCGGCGTCCAACGCACAACCCAACAGTCAATAGTCACAAAACCAACATCCACAAAATCCACCGCCACTGCCTGGTTGGCGCGCACACAATTGTGTTTTTTCTACTTGCTTGTATTTATTGCATTGTGGTGCTTCGTGGTAACTTCTCCGATGGCAATTGGTTCTCATACATTTTGCATTTGTTGAGAGTTTCAGTGACGAGTTGATGTTGGCGAGCGGCGCGTGTGCAAAAGATTGAGTGCGTCTGCTATATCGGATTTGTATTACACGCGTAAATCTCGGAGGTTTCTTTTAGTATTTTGCGGATTCTGAATGTGAACGGAAGTCGAGTCGAATTTGCGTTCTTGTGTGTGAGTGCGCGGATGCGGATGTGAAGTAAGAAAGTTCTGTATCAATGTGGCAGTAGAGTCGCAAAAGCAGCAGCAACAATAACAACATAGGCAAAGTAAAGAACATAGAAAAGTTAAAGGAAATGAAATAAAGGGAAGCTGTTGACTGCTGATATACAAAAAAGTCGGTACGGTGCGTTACTATTTACTCGTCGTTGCGTTCGTTCGGTCGGGTCTATGGTTGGACGGTTGTATTCGCGTTTCCTCGATATTTCTTTTATCTATTTGGAATTGCATAAATAAGCAAAGTGATTTAAACGAATTGAAATTGAATGCCGAAAAACTGCGGGCTAGAATGTGTGAACGTAGATATGCATAAAGTGTGTGCAAAAGTTGAAGAAAAAAACCAAAAGTACGTAGAGGCAAATAGCAAAAGGTTAGTTGAATCGTTGAGAAGAAACGAGCTGCAGCAGTGACAGCGCGGTCGAGAAAGCTCTGCAAATCTGTTTGTGAAAAAGGATGTGTTGTAGCAATATAAACAGCATCGCAGAACGGGCAGGTAGTGTAAAACCTACAACAACAACAACTGCTTGTAAAATAGTGCAAAGCATACATGCATATGTCTACATATTTAACTTTACATTAAAATGTAATTTTGTTTGTAATGCTTTTAATGCATATCAAAGTGAAATTTCATTATTGACGGCACTTGACAACAATAACAACGCGCATCCTTCTATATGCTGTGTAGTTACCCTTGCAACAACAATGCGCAGGTATAACAACAGCAAATATGCGTATGTATGCACAATAGGGTGGCTAAAAAAAATATATATATTTTAAATATGAAGCTCTCACCTTCTAGGATTTTTCTTAGTAGAATACAAAATACTCGTTATCTATTAAAAAAAAAGATAATTAGAACTGCCTTCAAGCCCATGATGTTTTCCATGCACATATTTTATTTGGGGGGGAAAACAATTTTTCGTAGAGATGGTATTTTTTCGGCCAGAAAATTCTGTTTCTCTTCAGGAGATTTCCAATAACAATACCCAATTGTTTATTTTACCACTTTTACTAACGATTTTTGATGGGCCCAACTATTGCATTTTTGGGGGGTTTTAGGGGACCTATGAAAAATAGTTAATTTTAAAAAATGTTTAAATAAACAATTGGGTATTATTATTGAAAGTGTCTTAAAGAGAAACAGAGATTCCCGACCTAAAAGTATTTATTTTTAAGAATTCTATACCATTTCTACGAAAAAGTGTTTTCCCCATATAATAAAATACTACCTGGAAAACTTCATGGGCTTTGAGGCAGCTCTAAACATCCTATTTTTTTAAACAGCAAATACGAGTATTCCTTTTCTCCATTTAGAAAAAGCCTAGGGGGTGAGAACCTAACTTTTTAAACTTTTGTGTTTCTGGGCCAACTTAATGTGCATACATATGTATATATGTATATGCCAACGCAGGATTTCTATACACACAGGTGTAAAAATATCTACTATTCGCTTATTTTTCTATCATTCCCGTTGGCACTCATCACTCAGCAGTTCTCTCATTAGAGATAACAAACGGACATCTTTGTATGACTGCTGGTGGTGTGTTTGCTAATATTTTCCACAAAAGGTAAAAGAGTTTAGTAAATGTGCAGGTGAAGTGATGTGCGTAGGTAATTAACGAGCGCTAGATGAAAAGTGCCTCCTGTGAGAATTGGTTTGCTTGTGCGTATACAAATCCTTAACTCAGATAAATAAATACGTATCTATTTGCTTTCCAGTTGTACAAATGTTTGTTGTTAATTGAGCTATGCACATAAATAAATAAGTTTGACTTGCACAAGTAGAATTGCTGCGAGTAGCTTTGACAAGTGTTTATTGGTGCGGGCAAGCAAAGTAACGAGTCCTCCTGCATGATCTGGTTGTTGATAAAGCGCAGTGGCAGCGACAAGAACAAAATAGTCATAATTAATATAAATAAAACAAGTGCTGCGATAAATGTGAGTAACAATAACAAAAAATACATACATACATACATGCTAGAAAATCAATAACTGCTAGTGATAATAGTACAAGAGCATTCGCATAGGCAAAAGCGGGTGAAAAATGGCAAACAATAATTAAAGTGGAAATAAAACATTCACTATGTAGTGTGTATGTACATATCTATGCATGCATGTGGATCTAATGTGAGTGTTCCTACAGCGCGTGTGTGTTTATTCTGTGTTCGAATTTTGCAGCCTGTTACACAGCTGCTAGCCGCACTGATAATGTGCGAAAAATTGTATCCACGCTGAAATCTGACAGGGTGGGATGGGACAGTGCTTTGTAGTGCATTAATACAAATATTCGTACGGACTAAACTGCTTGCAAATTCATTACTATTTGTTTAGTTTATTGTTTGTGCATGTGGGTGCAGCGATTAGCTGAACTGAACAAATTAGAGAGCAATGCGCACACATTTACAGTAGGTATACATTAAAAATTGCGGAAATTTTTATTGCTTTTGCCATCAAATATTATATGAGAACAATGTTTGAAAACAAACACATTAGGGGTATTCTCTGAGTCTTGTGCACGGTGCACAGAATGTACGGTTTCGTATGGGACAGCTTTGCAAACCGTGCAATCCGTGCACAGTGCAAGGACAGATAATACCCCTATTTATTAGTAAGCTTGCGGTGCTTTTGAACGATTTGTTAAAAGAATAACAAACATATGCAATAACCAGTGATCGGACTTCTACCACATTGTGGTAGATCTGCCACTTTTTTGAGCATCTACCACATCTACCACTCAAGGTCTGAAATCTACCACATATTCGCGTTTTTGAGTAGCTTTATTTTTGCTCGACATAATTTTCTTAATTTTAAGAGCAAAAATTGTCCAACACTGAACACTAAAAACAGGCAAAATGGGAGGATAAAATAAACCGTAAAATAGTAAAATTTCTCAATATTCAATTTTTCGACAGGAAACCTGGTTTTATTGTGTTAAATTGCAAAATATATGATTTATAAAAAAGAATTAATAGTGAAAATGTTAAAAAACAGCGATTTTTGTGAAAGTATTAGAAAATTTCAGTGCATCTAAAGTTTCTAAAGAGTTGTTTACTTTTACTTGACAATTGTCAAAATCGGCAAATCCTACGTAGCGGTTTCTGGAACATGCCACATTTGTCCGCTACATTGTGATGTGATAAAAAGAAAAGCTGGCAAGGTTGCAGAAATCTTTCAAAATATGTTCGAAAAATATCTTGATATGGAAGGAACTGCTTTACACTGTCAAGGCAAAAAATTGCCAAAACTCAACGGCACTTTTAGCAACTTCAATCTTGCACTTTATTATACTAAAATTATTTTTTTTTAGATTATAATTAAAATGTTTGCAATTTAGGTGAAAGCTTGCAGAATATTTTTAATTTTTGTACAAAGTTTGATCCAAAACCTGAGATCTACCACATTTTTTTGAAATCTACCACATTTTTTTCCAGATTCTACCACACAAATTTTTTTTAAGTCCGATCACTGGCAATAACCAAACTTTCCGTATAAATGAAGATCTACATACAAAGGCGCTGCGCGAACTAATTAATGTATGTATCTAAAAGGTAAAAAAATAAATATCGAAAAATACAATATATAAAATTAAGTAAAGTTAAATAAATTATATTTAATTAAAAAGTAGAACGAGGTAAAACACAATAAAGTAAAATAAAATTAAAAAAAAGACAAAAAGTAAAGGAGAATAATGCAAAATAAACATGAAAGTAAGATAAAATGAAATGCATCTAAATATAGTAATTTAAATAATATGAAATAACATTAACAAAAAAAAAAAAAATTACATATAATAAAATGAACTAAAAAATACGATATAATAAAAAATAAAATTAAAAAAAATACAATAAAATAACATAAAATGAAATATATTAAAATAAAAAAAATAAATAAGAGTAAATTTAAATAAAATAAAATATAATAAATAAATAAAATAAAGCATAACTAATCAAATTAAAGAAAAATAAATCCATTTTAAATTAAATATAATAAAAAATGTAGTAAAATAAATTAACCTAAACTAAAATGCAATAAAATAAAATGTAATGAAATGAAAAAAAAAACTAAGTAAATTCAATGAAATAGATATACAAAACCACGGATACGAGTCAAGAGGTATATACAGTGGTTGAAAAAATATAGCCGCACCACATTTTGACAAGTTATAACATATTATTTTTTTGTTATTTAATTTTAGTTATATTTTTTATAAAAATTTGGTTCAGTCTTTAACAAACCCCGTGTTAATCAAAGTTTGAAACATTATGTAAAATTAAAAAAAAACAAGGAAACGAACTTTCGTACTTTATTCCACTTAATTAAAAAGCTCGACATTTTTAAAGAATGAACTATATTTCTATAAAAAATAACCAAAATTAAATAACGAAAAAGAATATAGTATTTATTAACATATGTAGCTTAAATATGTACATATGTACACTCATAAACATTTGATTCAGAAGCAGATTTTTCCGAAAGATTTAAAACTGCATTTGGCGGTCTGTTTATCCCATAAATTCACAAAAAGTCACAGAAAATCTACAAAGTGTGCTTTCGTATGAGTTTCCTTGCAGATGTACATATACTATACCATGTATGTATGTACATACATATGTACATTAGTGCGGAGTAATTTAATTTCGAAAAAGGTGTATAGCATATAAAGATTCTGCGTTCGATTCTAAGTAAAAATGGTGAACAAACTTTATACCAAAAATGACGTTTGGCCATACCAATTTTTAAAAGAAAAATCAATGTATTATCTTTTTTTCTGAACGAAACTAATTTATCTTTTAAAAAATTTTGTGTTTTCTTCACACAATGTTTATACTGCTTTTTCTTTTGAAAATTGGGATGGTCAAACGTAATTTTTGGTATATAGTTTGTTCGCACTCTCTTTGAAAATTTTGCCCGAACAAATTCCTCCACCTAATGTACATATACGTACATAAATAAAAAAAATGTGTTAGTGTTTCGCCTGTTTTAATATTCTTAATTATGCATTTTTTATGATTTTTTCTTCGAAACCACAACTACATACATACATACATGTATTTGCATGTTCGTTGCGATAATTTGAAATTTCCGCGTAAAAATTATTAAAAAATAAAGTCATTGCGATAAGTTAAGGGCCAAAACTAAAGCACTCCCTACCATGACTTTTTTCGGAACAATTTATAATTACATATGTACATATCACCAGTAAGGAGAAAATTATAATTATATAAACAAAATTTTACCAAATGATTTAAATGGTGGTAAATAATTGATAAACCGTATCGAAACCGTATGACAGATCGTAAATTAAAATCAATAAAGAAAATTGCAGAACTGGCATATCACAGAATGTAAAAAATGCAAAGTAATGCACTGCAAACAAAATACTGATTATTTCATTGTTTTATTTTGTTTGACCGCTGAAGTGGGGGGCAATTGTTTTGTTCAGTAATTTTTTTATCTGTTATATGCTACATTATTTAAACTTCCTTAATGCAAGCAATCTGTTATTTAATGAGGAGGGGGATGCTTGTTTTGAACACAAGTGTTTTAGTAATTTTTTTCTTTTGAATTTTCAGCGAAAGTGCAATGCTATGCCATGATGTCTGAAAAAAAAAATTAAGAAATATTCTGATAAAACAGAAATTTACTTTGCTGATTATTTAAAGCGTGTTCGAGAGCAATAAATAAAAAATAAAATTTCTTTGCGATATGTTTATTGAAATATACATACATAAGTAGTTAGAGTACATACATACATACATTTATACATATACATCCATTTATATACATATATACATTCATCATGTGTTCAGAAATATGTAAAAGCAAAAAAAGTAAAAAAACAAACAAAAACAGCTGCATTTAGTCAGTTATTGGTACGCTGTAAATGTTTAGCTTTTAATAATTTAATGGAATTATTAGTTAAATAGTAAACAAGTGGTAATGAAAAACGTCCAAACAGAAAAGCAATAAATATAGTAGGACAGCTGGGCACAAGACGCTGAATTTCTCAAAATAGGCCAACTACAATAAATAGAAGGTAAAAAGGTACAAAATTGTATGCATAAAATATCAAAAACATTTTTTTTTAATTTTTTTAATTTTTTTTTTTTTTTCTACTTGATATGTAATCAAGCTGCTAGCCGGCTAAACCGAAGCAGTTATGAATGTTTAAATAGTTGGTAGCAGCAAATGGTTTCGATTATACAACTTGTCTTCAGCTGCGAAAGCTGTCAATGTTTGTAAGAAACTGGAAATTTATTCAAAAGAAGCTTTATGAGATAAACTTATGTACGTATGTACGAAAGAGAGGAAAATAAATAATTGTAAATCACTTAGAAAACATGTTTACAAGGCTACAAATAAAAAGGTGCGCAAAGAGGAAGAAGTAGAAGTCTAGTGTGCAAATATGTTTAAAAGAATATACATATCTTTAGCGACAAAAAAAAAATCAAGCAAATATCAAAAATGATGTTTAAAAAATATTTTGCGCGTTGTTATTGTTGTTGTTTAGCACACATATGCATACCTTTAAAGCTGGTCGTTTTTGTGCTAATTAAATATTTATTTCATTAATTTTGCAGATGAAAAATTTTAAAACTTAAAAAGCAAACAAAACAGATCTAAAATTTGTGAAACCACTTAAAAAACTGCTAAAAAAAGGGGCCTCCATTAAGTGTTCTTGAATGTTAAAAACAAAATGCAAATGAAAACGTGAGCAAAGGCATATTGTTTGGCATAGAAAAAAAAACAGAAGTGCTTAGCCTTAAAAATGTATAAGCAAAACGCATTGATAAATGCAAACTAAGCGAAAAAAATTTAAAAAAAAAAGTTAATACAATGCATTTATGTTAAGCAGAGAACACTGACGCTCTGCTATTTTTTTCCTTTTAAACCAGTAAAAAATAGAAAATTGCGAAAAAATAAATAAATCAAATAAATAATAATTAATTGCAATGCGTGACAACTCCAAAATTACATAAGATTTGTATGTATAAATATGATTTGCGAATACTAACATGAAAAGCAATTATGATCTTACAAATTTATTAAATCGTAAAAGTGGAAATCTAAATCTGTGTCACATAATAGCCTAAAATAGTGTCACATAAGCAAACAAGCGTAACAAGCCACTAAACAACAATTAATCAATTAATATCTACTTCAGCAGCGCTTTAAAAATCAATTAAATCTTTGCTTAAAATACTTCAATTGAAGTGATTGAACTCAACTCTTCAGTGTTTATTTTTAAGCAAACAGTGGTTGATATCGTCGTCAAACGAGGACGACGACAGAACAAAAAAAAATCAAAAAACAAAGAAAAAATCAAAAAACAAAAAAAAAAACAGTTTTCTGTCAACGAATTGGAAAATCCATAAAAGCTACACAAATGCACTCATCAGCATAAAATCATACAAAAAACAAAATATTGCAAAACACCCACCACAATACACTGAAAGTAGAAAAAGAACAACAACTCAAGCATTTTGTATGTGTAATCTCAAATTCAATAGAAAACAAAAGCAATCAACAAAAATACTCTGCGCATACAGCATCCTCGTATCCTTAACAAGCTCAAGCGCGCTGTAGCTGCTGCGCTCTCTTCTTCTCTATGTAAAAAATGCAACACTGAAATGAAATACAACACTGCTTGTATCCTTGTATTCAATGCGCTCACGCTCGCAACTAACAAGTGAAATGTACATTTGAGCGCTGAGAGCAATACGTATGTGTATATCCTTGGAATCCAATAATCCTGAGTAAATCAAAAAAATTAAATAACAAGTGCTTGTCGTAAACGAGATATATAAGAGTGAAATAGTGAGCGAAAAGCAGTGTGAACAAGTGAAAAAAGGCAGTCAGAGCGTAGTGAGTGGATTGTGGAAGTTGAGAGAGTGAAAGAAGGCCACTGGTAGGCAGCCGAACCAAATAACAACAGGAACAACAGCCACAAGATGGGTCGCCGCTCTTTTAATCGCGTTTGCGCTATAAGTTATCCCAGTCGCGTCGAGGGTTGGTTGGATGTTTGTGGTAAGTAAAAAAAAAAAATTTTTCTTGTAGTTAAAAGTATTAAATTTAAGTTTTCAAATAGACCATAAGGCTCAGGTGATTTTAAAGTGACAGCGTACTTAAAGAAGACTTCAAGAACAGTAATAGGTATTTGAGAAATGCGTTCAGATGAACAATACTTTTAAGAAGACCTAAAATAAGATAAGATATTACCTTGAAGCACCACTATTGAATGGTTTTGGCAAGCTTTGTTGTTGCGAAAACTCTCAATTAGGAATCCTTTAAATGCTAACCTCTAAACTTGTTAGACTAGGTTAGGTCACGTGATATTAGGTTCAGTCAAATGGGGGTACATGGCTGTTATAGGGGTGTTTTTATGTGATACACAACGCGTTAATCACGAAGTTACGGAATGGCTAATATCAGTCTCCATTACTCAGGAGTCCATGATACCAATTATTTTTTACCCACATTACTTAATTCATTCCTCTTTCTCCTTCTTCTTCTATATCAGTCCCCATTACTCAGGGCAAGGCGCTTTGTTTAATCTCTTTATGATGATTCCTCTAGAGAGGTTTCGAAGAGGTTAGTTCTTCCTAATGCTTCTGCAGGCTGTCTTTTTTAATTTCCTACCTCATCATTGAAAGTGCTTATTCCAATGTCTGTTTACAAAAAACTTTCGAATCGTCTTGCTTTTTGGAATAGCTGTCTATAATACGTTAGGTTATGAGGAGGCTTCTCTTAAGTAGTTCAGTACGATTGAGCTTTGAATTGCCCAGGAGTGATTTTTGAAAATTATACTACTGTCTGCTCTTGAATTATTTATCCCGAAAATTCTTCCACATATATCATGCCTAAAGACCATTCATCGAAGTGCCGAACTTTAGCGGGTCCATAAGGTCTATGGTTCAGTGTTCTTTTAGTATTCACCATCTCAAGAACTCCTGAAACGAGGTTTCTCTCCACGCATGATTTGGTTATACATAGTTACCAAATCATGTGTTGAGAGAAATCTCGTTCAACTCATTGTTCCCAGCCAGTATTTCTTTACTTGTGAATTCGTAAAACGTGGTGAGGTATTAATAGTTACACCTGGTACCTGATATTTTGTTTACAATCTTTTCCTAGTAGATACTGGTCCTGGAATGTAGGGTTTTGTGACATTTTTAAATGGATTAAGAGTTACTTTCGAAGTAATTTGATAGCTGTCTTGATATTCAGGTTAGAAGGCGAGCTTTGAACGGTATACCTTCATCATTCTTATTGTGGAAATATGAGGGCCCCCAAGAGGAATAGTTGCTTGGCCATATAAGGAATATCCTGTAGATTGCAGCCTCATAGAATATTATGTTGGTCTAACGTTAATTCCGAAATATATAAATGTCTTTAGATTGCTCTTTGCCCCTTCGTTAACCGTTATTAAAAACATTCAGTAAAATGTGCTTTATATTCGCCTAACATCAAAACATTATTTGATCCTAATCACAAATAAACAGTACTTGAGAAATTCACCCTTGTGGAAAAGAATCGATAAAGCACTTGCATACGTAAAATATTTACAAAATATTTGCTTTTAATCTGCGCTACACCAAAAAGGGATGAAATCAGCATTGCCTTCGCATACAAACGCCATGAAAAAAACGACCTTCTGCGAAAATCCATGTACAGATGAAATTCGCCAGAGCATGGTGGGAGGTGCCGTGGCGTCATTGCACTTAAATTAAACGTCAAGATAAGCAGAAGCGGCTGAATTTAATTTCAGCACATGATGTTGCATTAATTTGTGTGCAAATTGAGTAAGAGAAATATGTATGTTAATATTGAAAAGGACGTACACTTAAGGACGGACAGACAGCTGAAAAAACAATACCAAACGACAAGCAAGAGGTCCTTAGAAGGAATAAGCGCACAAACTGGGTGGCAAAAACAGAAGTAATAAACAGTAAAAGTAAGGTCGACTTGGAGGCAATTTTCTGAATACATTTGACTGATTTCTGTGCTGCTACATTTGTACACTTTCGCAAACTGTGAAGGTCCTTTCTGCTGTTTTGAATTGCAGTATATTTATTTTTATATTTTAGTCAGCTTTCGCAGGCCTACTTACAACGATTGCAAGCGAAAATGCAATGCAAGGTTATAATGAAGAGGGTATAAACCACGGATGTGCGGCTAATGCAGCGTTTTTGCTGCATTTAAAATGCAACATTTAGCACTTTCGAACATATGTTTTCGAAGAGCGTTCATGCTATCGCATTTAGCAAATGTACATTTACGCGAGTTCGAAATCGTATGCTTTTGACAAACAGCCGTGTTCCAGTCGCTTATTCAGATCCGTATCTATTACGATCAATTCTCACGCAAAAGATAATGTGCAAAAAGGAAAAAATAAATTTTAAACCAAAACAAAAATTTGAATTGTTTTACCATGACCGACCATTTGTTTATGTACATATATATTCATTTGTCGGTGCTGTCAATTAAAATTTCCTCACTTAATTAGGACACAAAACAAACAAAATTGATCACAAATTGATCCAGATTTCTATCAGCATCACATGGATATTGAATTTTCTTAACTTTTCTTTTCCCAAATAATGTAAAATAATAAATGAAATCTCGATCGGCGATCACTGAAACGCAGCTAGCCACTGTATACTCGAAAATGCAATGTTGCCACTTTTTCTCATTAAACCATGTTCGAATCGTGGAAATTTTGGAAGAACACAGGGTTGCTTTTAGCATTTGGATTCTTAATGCAAAAATGCAGTTGCATTTAGTTGCATTTAGGTGACGAATTTTATATGGATAAATGTACATTTAGAGTAGCATTTAGAGCTAAATGCGCTAAATGTGCTTTTACGCGTAAGCAAAAACAGCCCATAAAGCAGATTAAGTAAAATTTTTGTCATAACTTAGGAAACTTTTGGAAAGCTAAGGCCCCTTTCTCAAGTAGATTTTAAAATTTTTTGTACGGAAAAATTAATATCGATGCCAAAATACATCGCTAGAAAAACATCGATATATCGATGGTTTCCGATGTTTCAAAAGTTGTTAGGGTGTAGTCACATTAAAAGGAAAATTTAATACTTTTCAATTCAAACTCTCTGTAATTCAATTAGAAATATACTTACATATGGATGCATTTCCCTGTATTTATTTACCACCCATTTACCCTTCCTATAAATAGAATAGAAATGCATGCCGTCGTAAGTTCGATGAGCCTATAGTTCCAGGGCCCAATTTCGGTGAAATTTCAACGGGATCCCGGTCCTTGTTTAATGACTAAGTAAGCATTTTTAATATCGAAAGATAAGAGTAAACTCGGAATTTCTGAATGTTCCTCAAAAGAATAAGGAATAAAATTCATGACCAGTCAAAAAATTTTGGGAGCATAAGTCGATGTTAAAACATCGGTGAAACTGGCATCGACGTATCGTCAATTTAGCGATTTTAGTAAATTGTAAACATCGATGGCAAACATCGAATTTCGAACCGATATTATCGATGTTTCAAAAATATCTATGCATCGTTTGCATCCCTAGCTGTGGTCCGTAGCCCGTCGTTTCGAATGTGTTTCAAGCTTTATCTGCCCTTTATACACAAATTTTGTACTGAAAAATGTGTTTGAAGGACGGATAACTTTTAAAACCTACTTGAGGAAACGGCCCTAAGTATGTTAATTTTAAATCGGCAAACGCCTGTGATACTTATTTTAATCAAGAATTGCGGAATTGCAGAATAAAGAAAATTTTGAAGAAATAAAAAGGAACAAAATATAGCCCAACTCTTTCCCATGATTGATGTTTTTGGGCAAAGAACATAGTTACGCGACAAAGAGAGCGACAAGACATTTTCGAAAGAGACAAGAAACGTCAAAACATAGTGAAGCAACCGTCAGCTCAGAAAGCAACGAACGATATATACATTCCCTGTAGCAATTCGGACCCACCCTAGGTTAGTCCTCGGATAGCCCATATTGTTACCAATAAAAGTTCCTCATATTTCCCCTGCCAATGGTTTCAACTGCCATTTTTAACATTGACGTGTCATTGGAAAAGGACCGGTCCAACAACTCACCGTAAGATGTCC